CTTGGTGATGTGAGACATGTTCCGGATTTGAAAAGAAATATTATCTCTTTGAGTACTTTTGATTCAAAAGGATATAGGTATACCGGTGAAGATGGAATTCCGAAAATTATCAAAGGTGCTAGAATTGTAATGAATGGGCAAAAAAGGTCACAGTTATATGTCTTGCAAGGTTCTAATCACAGTTGATGTAGCTGCCACTAAATTAAGAAAAGAGATATTAGACCTGAGAAGAGGTTTGGTGAGGCTGATTTGGTTACTTATGCATTGATAAGTGTTGACTCAGATAGAGTTAGTTATGATTAGATTGCTCGTGGTGATAATTCGAGCTTATTTGATAACTTAGATGGAGTTGGTTGTGAACTTGGTGATTTTGTTGGTCGTGGTGATTCGAGCAGGTTTGGTGCCAAATGTAATTCCCCTAGTAAGCAATGCTTGAATTCATTTCACAGTTGTTAAATTTGCGGGGCTTTGTGGATGAGGTGGAGTCTGTTTTCTTGACGTGTTCTATTTGGAGAATTTTCGGAGTTTGTTGAAGAATTAAATTTTATTCCTTACATTGAAATTCGTGACAAGGTGGATTTTGTTAGAGTTTCGTGTGACCCAAATTCTTGTTAAGTATTTGATTGGAAATACTTTTGGTAGTATGTTTGGAATTGGTTGTTTGTTTTAAAATGTTTTGAAGAAGTTGCAGACTACGAGAAGTCAAAGATGACAAAAATTGGACCAAGGATTTGTTGGCACCTAAGTGCCATTCAGAGCATTGTAGAGTTTTTTGTCCAAAGACGAAGCGCTTGAGCGCTAGGTCTGCAGTGCTTGAACGTAACATCCATCGTTCACTAGTAGCGAGGATTCCCGTTTGAGTGGCATTAATATTCGAGGAATTAGGGTTTCGCGATTTTGACAGCTTTTGGACTCCTATTCAACCTCGAATTTTCTATTATTGGTTTTACCCATTATATTAGGACTTCATCTTATATTAACTCTTCATGTATGAATTTTCCTAGTGTGTTACAAATTGTTACATTATAAATATGTGGTGTGTATTACATATAGTTGACAGAACATAGTAGAAGAGAGGATCTTGTTTATAGAGAGAGGGATTCGCAGATAGAACTATCGACGAGAGAGTCTTGCGAGATCTAGTCTAATATATTGTAATTCCTTACTGTTGATATAGTGAGTTCCCCACCTCTGTCTGTGATTTTTCACGTAATCTTGTATTCTTGTGATTGTTTTTATTTTAATTTTGTCCATTATCTAGTCTTTAAATTGGCTTGATTCTAACATGATTCTAACAAGTGGTATCAGAGCGCGTACATACTTGGTTAGTTTGTTAACATTTACTTATTCTCAACCAGACATGGGGCACTTCTTGGAAAAGAAGTTGGGTTGGGGACCAGCCTTAATGGATTAAAATAAGAGTTATATATGGCGGAACTTTTTACAAAATCTAGTACCAGTGATGCACTGATTGGTATGGTCCCGTTTAAGGTGTCTAGTCTGGATGGGTTTCCACGCGGTTTTCTATCAACGAAATTTTTTTTAGGGGAGGGGGTGGTTGAAATCATTTACATTAGATTTTCTTATGGGAAGCTAATTATGTAAATGATAACAAAATGCCTGAAAACCAGTCTATGTAATGTCTTCTACAAAATTATTTTAAAAGCTGTGGCGAATAAGGATGAAAATTGTTCTGTGGCCGTATTTCACCTTACATGGCAGCTTTATCGCCTCTCGCCTTAACGTTGATAATATTATAGCTGCTTTCAAGCTTATGCACTCTCTCAGATGAAGAACTTATGGTAGACTCCGCTATATGGCTTTGAAGCTCGATATGAATAAATCCTATAACATGGTAGAAAGGGGCTTCATCCAGACTATTATGGAATTTAGGGGATTTCCTCACAGGGTAGACTTTACTATATGGGTTTGAAGCTCGATACAAACAAAGATGGTGAATTATTAAAGAATGTGTAAGAGTTTACGCACTATGCACATGCTTTGCAAAATGCTGTTCGTTGGTCAGATTTCTTCTTGTAAATTATATTCTTACGTAATTTGTCACTGACCTACACCTGCAAACAAACAAATTTAAAACAAGAAACAATGAACTCATGCTCTAAACTTTCAAACAATTTATGCTTATTTTGGCAAACTCTAATACATAAATCTTAAACAGATCCATCACAGAAGTGTAGTAGAAATAAACATGTCCTTATATTTTCCAAATTTGGTATCAAGAACCAGAATTCTTGGAAAGAAAGGGGTGGTAGAAATGGCCTTTATGACGTCAAGAGGTATGCAACTGACAACGGTGGATAATTTTTTGGTTTTGAAAAACTTTTATGTTCATTTACATGAAAATTCTTATTTGTATATTAATGGAGATTTTGAGTAATTATAATCTATCAAATTTTTTATTTTTGCTTTTCTTTGATATGGCATTTACTGGGATATAAGCTAGCAGTTAAGTATTTGTGTGTCACCTGGGTAATAGGGTACTACCATGGATAAGTGTAACGACCTATGCCTCTTGCCCAAACTTTCTTTTACATACTAGCCGTCTTGGGAGAGTTTAAGCCCATCTTAACTCTCACGGCTTTCTGCCGCGTCCCCCAATAGTTGAACCGAATGAATCGTGTTACCAATTAAACAACTATGTGTTTAAAATCCATTTCAGCAGGATGAAGTTTAGCAACAAGCCTATATATTTCACATCCATCTGGAAAAGTTTGAGAACGTCTTTATCTCACCCACTCCATACAACCTTTGGAATTTTATGGAGTAGTGATATAGAGGAATTACTACCCTTTGATCTCTCATAAAGCTAAGAGGTTTTGGGTTTGAATCCTGAAGGATACGAAAGAAATCTATGATAGGCATGATGCATTTCGTATAGAGGTCATTATCTAAGCAATAGTCCCTACCCATGGCAAACTAAAATAATGGTACTGCCTCAAAATTTGATATGGTTATGCTATCTCAAAACGGACAGTATATACGAGTGAATGGCTTAGGCTCGGATCGTTACACTACTGGTGTGAAATCTTCAGATAAGAAAAGAAAAGAATGTTGCAATATTTCTCAAGAATAACAGGAATATGACCAGTATTTCTATTATGGTAACAATAAATTAATTAACGAGGTAGTAGATCATCAGTTTAATTAGACTACCATATTATGTCTTTTTTTCTTATGATAATAATATATTTGTTAGGTTTTTATTTATATTAGCAATTTTTTAGACAAAAAGGATTATCATAAAAGAATAGGATTGTTGTAAAAGTCAAGACGTCTTTTGGAGGGTTCTATAGATGAATTAGGATTTTTTGGGTTTGAGTATGGAACGAGGAGAAAGAGTCGCCGGATTTGCACTAGCATGTCGCCTAGCTGATGCTCGAGCATCCAAAGTAGAATAATTATCGTCCGCATGTCGCTCGATTCTCGTTCGAACAACACACCTCTCGCTCGCTGTCGTTATCCCAGCGCTTGAGCGACGGTGTTTTCCGAGAAACCATAATTTGCATTTTTCAAGAGTTTTATCTATTATATACTACCTAAACACATTTTATTATAAATACCCAATGCCCAATATATTTTTTTGCTGGTGGTTGATCATTGTTTTACATCCTTATATCATTATTCCAAGATCCAAGAAAACATCCAAATATTTAGATTAACGTTTTGATTCTTGAGATCAATCAACCTCAAGTTTGGGAAAAATATCAAATTCATATAATCTAAAACACTCACTTCCTAAATATCATCAGGAAGATACTTTCTCAAAAAAACTTTCAGAGGTTGCTGATGATTGAGGGATGTTGGACCATAAACATAGAAAGAGTACAAGAACGAGACGTTCTTGGTGTTCCACAGCCTGTGATGTAATGTATAATAAATAACTAAGTAAATAAAGAGTATGAAAAGAAATCAAGAATTGAAAGAAAGTTGATGTGTAAATTGTAATTGTAAAATTTCACTCAACACTATCCCTTCGGCATGAATTTCGTGA